TTAAAATTTTTAACCAAAAACGTGAAAATTTAAACAGGAATAAATAATAAAAAAAGAGAGATAAACCCACCTCATATTCAAAGGTGACTTGTGTCAACCTTTTATTAGAAAAAATGTCTGGTACCTGATTGCCACCCGTTTTCCTCCCCCTGCTAGCAATCTTATGGGGTATCACAAAAGTTGTCTACTTCCGTTGCCCCCAACCGATCCGACCAGGGTACCTACCTTAATTCTATCTTAAATTTGGATATCCGCTTCTTATAATCAACGCGTGTAAGATTCTAATGTAACTAAATTGACGATGTCGATCAACTAGTTACTCTAGTGTGTCCCCCCTTTTTACAATTTACAACCACCAACCTCTAACCTAACCAGCCCCCCTTCTAACCTCCCCCCTCTTTAGCTCCCTCTTAAGCCGAAAATTACCTTAAGCGCCGGGTGCTAAACCTCTTGAGAGAAAACCGTAGAACCTGTTTCCAGACTCTGCTTGAGTAAAAACGTTCCTCAAAACAGTGGGGTTCCGCTTATCCAATTTTACACTTATCTCCTATAATGTAATGTGGATTTTAACGATACCCGTTCGACCAACTTGAGAACACCCCCGTCCTCTCTTGTTGTTCTGATTCCGTGCTGGTTGTCTCTTTGACGTGTCCTGCACCTGATCACCAGCAACACTTTTCCCGTTGGCTGGTCACTTTTTGCAGTCAAGTCTCCTAATGGTCCAGCTAAGTCCCTGTGAACCACTTTCCTACTCGACTGGTCACCTCTTCTAGTTAAGTATCCTAGTGGTCCAGCTAAGTTACAAGCTATCTGAAAACCCTTAACAACGCCCCACACTCAGGCACCTTATTAAATTGCTGAATTGATCGAAACGATCGGTCTTATAAAAACAGTATGGGTATACTATTCAATTAATATAAAGGTTCGATCCCAACTAATCTAGTGTCAAAGTCACTGTCATTTTTTTTGTTTTTTTTTTAGTTTTTGTTCTTTTTCTATTCTTTTTCGCTTTTTGTTTCGCTTTTGTCTTTTGCTCGTTTTTTTGTCCCCCTAGTTACCCCCCTTACTCGGTTAGCTAAGCCTCGTTCGGAGAGCGTACCAGGAAGTTTTCTCGAGTTTTCTTAAAAAATCTATCAAGGTATAACCGGAAGGTTTACACGTTTCCGCTGAACCGTACCACCAGTACTCTAGAATGGGCATGTAGCCCAGAGCTGTGTCAAGTGGGTTCGACTCCGTAGTCATGATGTCGTAAAAACACCCAGGAGCGCCATAAAAACACTATGTAACACTCGCCTACCTAAGTCACATATGAGGTTAAAGGAAAATAGGCCCTATAACCATTGGCTCAAGAGTCAGGGACACTATCTCTCGTGTTTTTCTACCTCGAACGGTCGGAGCCAATTCGGTTCAATTGCGACATGAGACTAAAAAACCGTTACAGCTTAAAGGCCACTACCAAAATACCCCCCCCCCCACTCTAGAAAATAAGAACGTCCCCATACTTAGGTCTCATGATACCCAAAATACGCAAACGCCGTTAAAAACAGGGTCGGAACAGTCCGTACAGTTACTTTTAATTAGACAGTGGAACATTGATCCATTTCAGATGGATCAACCTAAAACTCTCCTTACCTCAACATAATAATCATAAAACACACTCAAGAAAACTAAATTGAGTACTCTTATATCGGCACACTCGAGAATTGGAGTAACTAAATTAATAAGCAACTTGAATAAATGGGGAATTAAGTTTGACTCAATAAGTTCTAATCGAACAAGTTTTAGCTTGAGAATTGAGTTTTGGGTCTGAACCATTGGGAGACTTCGGTTGTCTACCTTTCCACCGAAGGTTCACTCTGGTCCAGTATTAATTGATTCGCTCTTCTTTTGTATTGGCTCTGTTTCCTATATCAAGATAAGAAAGCTCTACTCTCGTTCTAATTGAGTATCAGGAATTGCGAGTAGCAGTTTCCCGCTGCCTAATTTGACCACTTTCCCGCGTTTTTAATTCGGTCGTTCTGATCTTGTATATCTGAGATTTTCAATTTTCGCGAGAAAGTTGAGCATGACAGGCTCAATTCGAAATTTCGAAAAATTACATTTCACCCCAAAATTACGTTGTTCCTCATGGTCAAACTTCCAAATATGACCAACTGGCACATCTCTCCAATACTGCTGTAAATCCGATAACCGTTTACAAGAAACATGAGCAAGAGAAGATCAACATGTACCGCTCACGTGATATCGATATAGAGCAAGCTTCTCAGTTAACGAGTAAAAAGATATCGCAGTTGTCTTATCTTATCTCCCTAAAAAGAAAATACACTCAATCGGATGCTACTAACTGGGTAAGAACAAGAATATCGTTTTCACTAATGAGAAGTGCGATTCTCTGTCTCCGTGGAACACGTAAGCCAAAACATATTTCGACCCCTGACCTCGACTTTAACTCAACACTCTTCGACTAACTGATAAACAATTCCATTTACTACATTCAAGGTAGTCTTTCACTCTTGAACCTGGAGCAGTAGATTTGATATTAGAGTTTTTAATCACTTTTTATTTATTCATTTCTATATTTATTATGAGGAGCAGAATTCAAGTCATCCCCTCTCTATTTTAAGGCAATAATCCGAAACCAAGGTAAATTGAACAAAGATTCTCTAGGCATTCAAACCTGAAAGCCCTTATAAAGCAGAGTCTATCATCTACACACATTCCGTCTGTTTTAGAACCACGACACCTCTACAGGACCGATCAGAAGCGACCAGACGGTTTGACGCTCGTTCCATGGGCTGATGGTAAGCAGCTCTTGTGGGATGTAACGGTAGTAAACTCCTAAGCTCCTTATAGGATTAATACCGGGTCTGTTTTTAACCCTGGTACGGCTGCCGCTGAAGCGGAAGAGCGAAAAATTGACAAGTATAAAGATCTTGTAAATGATGGATATCTTTATCAACCGCTAGCTTTTGAAATTCAGGGCGCGGCCGGCCCCAGCACAGAAGTTTTTTTGAGCAAGCTTCGTGAGAACCTAAGCATATGCACTGAGAAACCCAGAGCAGGCAGCTTTTTAAAACAGAGAATCTCCCTGGCAATACAGATTGCGAACGCCGCTTGCGTACTCGGAACAAACAATGACAAAATAACTTTCGACGAAGTTTTTTACTTGTAACAATTGTATATTATATTATCTCGTGTCGAGTTGCGTGTTCCTAATGAAGAAACGTAACCCGTATCGATTTTAATTGAAAAGGACTTAAACACTTGTCATCTTCTTTTATCATTATCACTTCCATATCTAAAAAATTCCAAGGATTTTGACTGGAATACATGATGAAGGGACTCATGACTGTAACCTCGGTTACTATGATACTTTTGACCTTCTGATTACCATTAAAATTTAACAAAGTAGCAGAAAACCTTGAAAAGCGGCTTTCCGAAAGAACAAAAAAGTCTCATTTAGTTGACATATGAGGAAAACTGAAATCCAATCTCATTTGCATTCCTCTGGAGCCAGTTGAATCCAACCTTGGGCTCATTGTTCATCAAAACCTAAACTGGTCTGAAAACTGCGAGATACTTTCGTTAAAGGCAATGAATGCACTCTTTCTAATTTAAAAAAAGACCTTACTTCGGCCTGCCACTGGAAGGGTAAGTTTAACGCATATACTGGATACGTAGTACCGATAGCAACATACGCATCTCAAGCGTGGTGGGCAAGCAAGGGAACCCTCCAAGAGTTTGAAAAAGTCCAACATTCTGCAACAAAATGGATATTAGCATCGAACATCAATAACCTTAATCGCCTCCTTTCCCTAAGAATACTACCACATTAGACATTCCGATCTTCTCATTCTCTGCGTGATCTTCTGTTTCTATTCTCAATGAGAAAGGGTGATTATGATATAGAGGAGACATTGGATAAAATTGATTCGATAGGAAACAAGCGACAAAATCAAAGAGGAGAATACAGGCTGAACAAATCAAGATTGATGAAAACCGATATCAATTTTTTCCGATGAACGGAACTTCCCACCAACTACGTATCACGAACGTGCCCTAATTTCGGCAACGAACTCAAGAAAGATACCTTGCAGAAAATCTACTGGCACTTCCGAGGAAAACAAATGCACATGGAGAATAATATGTACCAGCAACGTATTTTGAACATCGAAAACGGCTCATTTACACCATTAGTTTTCAGCAGTCTGGGCGGCGCCTCCCCTCTTACCTACAAGATGCCATCCCAACTAGCCTTTTTAATAGCCATCAAAAGAAATGCTACCCAATCTGAAGCCATAAAGTGGCTACGCATTCGCATAAATTTTTCTTTAATGAAAAGCATCTTGCTGTGTATCCGTGGCACCAGGAAACCTAAATATTTTATATGCACTGATTTTAATTTTAATGACAACCTGTTTAATTAATCTTTCCCGACGTGGTTTCCTGTTTCCACCCATTTTGTACGTCATCCTCTTTCTGTTTTCCTGTTACTAATCAGACAAGGTAATTTACCAAAAAAAAAAGAATAATATGCAGATGTGGAAACTGTAACATCACAAACAAGATAAAACTAAACTAATGAATAGAAATTTAAAATGTTAATTCAAACGTTTTCGCACATGTTGTGCATCAGCAGGATTTAAAATTTCGTACAATACTTACTAATGAACTTGAACCTGGGTCCGAACCCTTGAGAAGTGTCTCTAAATCTTTTACTAATACTACTATTATAGAGGAGGTACGGTTGAAGTAAAGAAGTAAATACCTTTAATGACAACGCATTAAATGCTGGCCTGACTTAATTCCTGCAATATTGTTTATTGATGTAATTATATAATGCTGGTATGGGCCCTATCCAGCTTGTGAACGACCGTACCTAAACGGAAGGGCCCCTTTTATAATTTACTTTTTTTCAATGGTACTCCATCTGATGGTTTTCCTAAATTTGTTCGTGGTGTGAATTCCACAATAATAATAATGTGGTTGATTTCAGAAACTGTTATTGGGAGCTTATTTTTATAGTGGGACGTCCAGTTCTGTGATACGAGAGCAATATTTTCGAGTCAGACGCCCATCTTTCTCAAATGTGTTTGCAAAAAGAGTACCTAAGTGTTATCAATTTGTTTTCAACACGAATCTATATAATTTACCTCTATTACTCAGTGATACGACATATCAATTCAATGAATCACAACTCGGCAACTGATCAATTATTCATTTCATCGCTTTTGGCTAAATCACGGTTAGTAAGATTCTAAGTTGAATATAGTGTCCAAATTTTCTGCTAGGACTCAAATTATAAGGATTTCCGTTGTGGCTAAATGAACGTTTGTCTATAAATCGAACAGGAAAACGGTGGATTTTTGAAGAAGTTAGCTATTGAAGAGCATGAAAATACGGGTCTTTGGTGATGTGTTTAGCTTTGCTCATTGTGAGCCTTGTTCCTCGTTCCCTGTCAGGCAAAGTCTAAAGTTTTTTTTCTACTAGATCTGACGGAAACGTTGGTTTTTTCTTTCTTTCTTTAGCCAATGTTTGTTCATCGCATGTAGTGCCAATATTATACTGTACCGATAATTTAGTTAATTGGAAAAATTAGAAGCAAGCTTAAAGTTAATCAGTTGCTATTCCCACTGAGAAATGAGCATAGAATGTTATGAGCATTACTAGTGTTGCATAATCAAAGAACCGCACTAATTGATTAAATGGATCATCTTTGGCAATCTTTCTATCTATTTGTTTCTATTGTATATTGAAATGCGAGCTTCACTGTCTCGCCATATTTCAGCCTTTTCAACGTATTCTTTTTGCATGTTTAACGAAAAATTTCTTTGCACGTTTAAGCTATATCGTATATTGCAAATTTTTTATCGTATATATAAATATTTATCGTATATAGAATTTTTTCAATTTTCCAGCTTGAATTCAGTGTTCATTTAGCCAAGTTTGAAACTAGCAAGCCTAAAGTGGCGCCCTGTTAGGGTCTTCCCAGGGTTGCATTGGGCCTCCAAATATGAACAGGCAAATCTTTTAGTTTATGAGATTTTCAGAAATCTTAGGTTTAAAGTTTTCACAACATTTATTTTTCCCAACCCTGTAATTGGTTGCTGCCAGGGTGCTAGCAGGAGTTGCAAATCGTGCCTCCAAATATGACTGCTCAATTGCTTTTAGTTTCCAAGAATTGACGCTTTTTAATGATTTTTTCGAACGTTTTCACGAAACTTAGATTTGAAATAATTTAAAAGAAAATGGAATTGAACAACCATATAGCTGGGTGCCGCCAGTATACTCTAATAGGTTGCAATCATTGCATCCAAATTTGACTGCTGAAATGCTTTAGCTTTCGAGATATGAAGTTTTGCAATATTTTACAATATTTTTAATACCAACCCTATAATTGGATGCTCTCAGACTAATCTCAGTGGTCATCAATCTTTCCTTTCAATTTTGGCTGCTCAGACACTTTAAGTTTCAAAATTGTTTCGAAACTTTTCAAAAAATTTATTATCATTTTTTCCACAATTGTTTTTTCCACAAGAATTATTTTTTTTCCACAATTGTTATTCGCAATCCTATTGCGGAGTGCTCAAGGTTACTCTCATAGGTTGCATATCTTGCCTCCAAGTTTGGCTGCTCAAATCATCTTGTTTTCCGAGGTATACCGTTTCTTTAAACTCTTTAAAATATTTTAAAAAAATTCGAAACTTCACAATATTTGAAATTGTCAACACGATGGGGTGCTGTCAAGATACTCTAAGGTCTGGAATTCAAATTTGACTGCTCAACGCTTTTTACTTTCCTAGATATGACTCAATGATTTTTCAAAGCTATTTTTTTTCAAAGTATTAAGTTTCAAAAAAGTATGCGGTGATGTGCTACCAACAGTTGAAGATATGGCCTCAAAAATAGTAAGATTTTCAATTTTTTTTTCAAAAGTGTAAAGTTTCAAAAAATTATGCGGTGATGTCTTACCAGCAGTTGCAGATATGATAATTATTTCAATTAAACTATGAAAAAATGAGTGTGATATTTTAAAGTTAATTATGCTGGTTTAAACGATTTATGGCAGCAATTGATATACGTACGTGCTAATTACACTAGCCAGCAGCTAGTGTTTTAGTTCGAACCTTCTATCTTTCTAAACTATCTCGCAAATAAAATGTTCATTGAATGTCGAAAGTGGTCACTTATTTGGTGGCACTTTTGCTATGCATTGGAAATTTCAGAGCATCTGTTCTCTGCTTCATTTGTGGTTAGTGTTTCAGATCAATTAAGCCTCCGTGATTAGTGCGTGAGACTCAAAATCTCTAGGTCGCAGATTGAACTTGAGACTACCAGCTTTTTTACGTATTCGAGGTTTCTACTTTTCATATTGCTCTTTATAGAAGAGCTGCTTTGTGTTCTTGCTAGTTTTTGCGAAGCTTCGCCTCCGTGTGAAAATGTGAAGCTTTTGAACTGAGTCAAGACTTGGTTAGTTTTCTAAAACTAAATGGTTTTAAACTTACAAAGTTTGTGAGTAATGTCTTTGATCTTGCGCAGCTCTTAATCATGAAGAGTTGTCACAGAGTCCGGAAACTTCAGTTCCAATGTAATAGGTTTAAAGTGGCATCACACGAAGCATTCGAAGTCGTGGCCTCAATCTTGAGCTCAAGTACCCCGTCACACTACGATGTTTCCCAATTTGCGCTCTTTTGGCAATCAAATGGTCAACACTTGAACGAACTACATCAGTTGGATTTGAGCAGCTGCTCTTTTAATTAATTTTTCTTTGGAACTATGCTGGAACAACTCGTCACTCCGCGGAGTGATTTCAATGTTTCCGTCTAAAACCTCGTGTTGCATATAATTTGTGACTATGTAGGTTTTTCGCGTGGTTGTATTCGGTCGTGCTTTTGCAGTAGACTCTAAAGAGAAAGAGGTTTGTTTCCTTTATGGTAAAGCCTGGGGTGTGACTATGAAGAAAATTTCCATTCTTTTTTTTTGGTTAAAAAGGCGATTCTTCTTGCTTCTAGTCCTCGGGATAATGTTCGAATAGCGGCAACGATCAAAGGTATTTACAACTTGCTGTGGTCTGATAGAACTCCTGTGGTTCAGTTTTGTTTGGTCTGATAGAAATACGGTGACTGAAGAATCTCATGTCTCTAGTGACAATAAAATCTGCAGTCACCAAACCGTTGCTCTAATAACTACAGAAGCACTTAGGTATATATGCACTTTTTGAGTTCGATTCAAGTTCATCTGCTGAAATAGCACTCTCCAAATACGAACGTGGAAATAGCGTGAACGATTTCTAGTTTCGAAAGTGGAATTTAATTTTTGTGTTGTAATTTTGTGTTGTAAATAGCACTCTCCAAATACGAACGTGGAAATAGCGTGAACGATTTTTAGTTTCGAAAGTTGAATTTAATTTTTAGATTTCCAGTGGAATAAAAACTTTATCTGATCATCCAGTTTTCTCAAGTTGGGTTAATGTTATCAAAAAAGCGCCATAGAAATTAAAAGATTTTAAAGGGCATCTATTTTTTCTTTGAAATTCGAAAGTTCCACTAAAAAATTGTTTGTCTGACTTTGTTTATCTGCTCAAGTTTTATCGGCTTAGTTGCCACATCACAAACTTTTCTTGTGCTGTAAGCAAATATCATTGTAGTTGCAAGTGTTATTCATTGTAGGTTCAGGGGGACTTCTTGATTTTTCTCGACAACTACCCTCCCATATCCTAGATTCAATTCCAAGAACAGGTTGTGGGAAGCTCCTTTGCATCCTCGGCTACGCTCAAAATTTTTGACACAACAACTAATGACCCTCGTAAAAGCAAAAGTTTTTTTAATAGTTTTTGAAACGTTTTGACTACTTGAGAACTACCCTCCCAAATTTGATTATTTGGATACACTCGAAGTTACAGGCTGCTTCAATTTCTTCTGTATGAGCAGCTACGCCCAAATGTTAACACAGAAAGCTGTGATTCTCGGAAAAGTCAAATTTTTAATTCGTTGACCGGCTTTTTGAAACTTCACTTTTTCTTGATATTTATCCTGCCAAATCTGGTTTCAAGTGTTAAATTGAATTAACAGATTGTTAAAAGCCTACATTTATAATTGACTACAGCCATTTTTCTTTTTAGAAAAAGTAATTGCCTTCAAAATAGTCAAAGACTTGAAATAGGCTGTTTTTTGGAAACTTCTCGACTTTTCCACAAAACTACCGTGCCAATTCTCCGGTTTATTAGTCAACAGAGACACTCAGTTTTGGTTATCTTTTCTACCGAGTCGGCCTTGACATTTTTTAAGCGAAAAAACTTATTGTTTTCGGAAAAAGAAGTTTTGAACTCTTAACCGTTTTTAGCAACTACTTGATAAACTACCCATAAACTTACCTTGATCAACTTCTCATAAAACTACCCTCTCATCTGAGATTTTTTCATAAACTACTCTCTCATATCTGTGATTATAAGTTCAATGCAAGGAACAGATTGTGGGAAGCTCCTATGCATACGCGACCATCTTAGCGAGTGAAAACAGTCGTTACGTGAATTCAATCAGAAGTTACGAGAATCATTATCGTTATCAAAAATGCAGCCACTAAAAAGAAGACTGAAAAGTTGTTCTCACCAGTGTGTCGAATCCAGTTTTAGCTCATCCAGTTTATGCACTTGAATTATCTTCTATTAACAAGTCTTTGGGACCTGGTGAAACACCTGTTTGGGCTTTGAAAGAGAGTGTGCACATAATCAATACTATTTCAACTATAATAATAAAGGAAAGCCTCTCGAAGGCTGAATTTGCACAATGCTGAAAGTTCATTTGTTATTACTATATTAAAAAAAGGAGACACCGTCGATTCAATCAACTACCGTTCAACTTCCATAACATCGTTGTTAAGTTGTTTTTCAATTTTATGTCAAATAAATCAATTTTATATTGGTAAAAGTGTCCTAAACACGAAAAGATTTGGACTTAACCATAATTTTTTGGTCAATGATGCTCGTCGATGCACAACAAAAAATTGAAATTCGATCTCGTTATGCATAACATAGCAGTGCGCCATTTTTAGATCTTTCCAAAATGTTTGATTCACTTTAATATCTCAACCTTGAAGAAAAACTTTGAGAAATTTTGGTTTGGAGTCATCAGCCACTCATCTAATAATTATGTTTCTAGAAAAAAGCCAGCAGCAAATAATTGTAAATGGTGCATACTCCGGTTGCCTTAAGTTGGAACACGGTGTCCCTCATGGTACTGTACTAGGGTCTTTGCTGTCTAATTTTTTATTATTATTGATATGTCAGAAACTCTAGACAAGAGTCATGTACTCTTGCAAGTATGCCAATGACCTATCTTTGCTTAATTTCCATTCAAATCCTATCTTCACAAAAAAATCATTAGGTCCAGTTATAACAAAGTACTCTCATATTTTCATTTACATCAATTAATCATTAACGAAGACAAAAACCAGCCCTCTTTTATCTGCTCCAAAAAAGGAACTTTTAGAAAATCTAAAGCTTGAAATGGGAAAGTAAAAAGTCAGAATTTCTGATTGTATAAAGTTTCTCGGAGTTAACTTGGATAGATAGGAAATAAACAAATTTTTGCCGAAGATTAGTGCAATCTAAATCATGAAATGTAGAAGAGATAAACTCTGTTACTCATTGCCCCTATATTAAGCCATTTACACTATCCTTATATGGTTTTGAATGGTTGTACTCAAGAAAATTTAGACAAGCTGGAAAGCAATTAAAATGAGCGAAACGGATTGTAATGAATTAAAACCGAAGGACTTGTCACACGCAAGGGGGAACCCACAGTTGTTACTGACAGATATAGTCAAGTACAGATCAACTCAATATCTTCTTAAAATTAGCCAAAACAGCTCGAATTTTGGAAGCTTACGATTTCTGAAGTTTAACTATCGCTATAATCATTGAAATAACTCGCTTCTTCTGCCTGGATTGTGTAAAATAGAAATTGTTTGTTGGTCATTATTTTTAAGTCAATGAAATTTTAAACGTGGTAATTCATAAAAACATTTTTATGAAGAAAAACTATAATCTGATAAACAAATTACTTTAAGAATCCGTAGTAGAGGATAGACTCTGCCAACGTTTTTTCTGCGATACCCAACCTCCTCCAATACTTGTTCAGAAAAAAGTATATTCAGTGACTCATAAAAATTTTTGTTCTCTTATCTACTATTATTATACAATTATTGTACAATCCCTTCCACAATCAGTTTTGTAACGGCAAAAATTGATGAAACAAAGTGTTTCTCTCTCTCTCTCGATCCCTTCGCTTTACAAGCGTAACAAATGGTTTTCTCAACCTGAGCCGGCACGGCACTTCTTTTTTCCCCTAATTTAACTCGCAAATAAAGTATTCATTTAAAGTGTTCACTTATTTGGTGGTGTTTTTGCTATAATTACGATCTGTAGCATTGGAAATTTTATATCATTTGTTTTCTGCTTTAAATGTGGGTAATGAAGCGTCCGTAGCTTAGTGGTTAGTGTATGTCTTTTGATCTCTTGGTTGCAGATCGCATCCGAGACTTTGCCGAATTTTGCTAACTTGAGGCTTATTTCTAAATTTTCTTTTTTCACTTAATAGAGCTGCTTTTTTGTCGTATTCTTGCTAATGTCTGCTCAATTGTTTTCTCTTGCATAAGTATCCCTAATTTTGTTTGGGTACGCCCATCTTATCGTATTGGTTGAAAATAGTCTTTTATTTTTATTCTTCTGATTTCGAAAAAAAGATAGGAAAGAAATATAAAAGTGGTCGAAAATTGATTATCTAATAATATTATTTAGATTTTGGACGGTTTTACCTAAAATTTGTATTTAGGTCTAATAGAAGGCAAACCCAAGGGTTCACCAAACGCCTTGCATCGTTCTGCCAGTTTCCCCAGAATACGAGTTTCAATAGCGTCGAATTGGCTAAACATGGATACGAGTTTCTTCATGAATACATATCGTGTCCATCCTGCAAGTTTCGGATGAAGCCAACAGCTACAGATATTCTCGAATCACATAGAAGAATTGGACCAACATGTGATGTTTATGAAGCACATGCTAAGTTATTGGCACCAGAATCCTTGCATTTGCATGCATTTTCACCAGATCAAGAGATGCGACTGGAAACCGAAATTGACACTGTATCGAATAAGACGAGCTTAGAGAATTCTAGGTGGAAGTTTGAGTATGAGAGATTGAAGTCCTTCGCAGATCAGAAAACCAAAATACCCAGCTTTGAAATATTAGGTATTTAAAATAACATTTTCTGCAGGTTCAACGTAACGTAATCAGAAAACCATTTCCCTATATTGCTTCATAAATTAGCATTACCCTGTCACTTGAAATACGCCTTCATTGCTTCTAGTAACGAAACAAGTGAAATTGTTCTTAACTGGGCTCCAATCGTATAATACTGAGTCTGTCTCTTGGTTTAGAATCCCGTAGTAACTGCATTTTTCTTTTTACGGCTTTCAATATTAAGGTTACTTTTTTGTGAACATATTTGTTTTTGTCTTCGGACAATATGAATAAAGTTAATTTGTAGCGTACTGCCTTACAATCAATTTTTGTGCGTCATTTCAAAACTTTTTTTCAGAAAGACATTGGTTTGACCTTGAAATAGTTTCGTTAAATGAGGGAATACGTTTTTGCGTAGAAACAAATGGTCATTTAATTAGTTTTGTTGTTTCAGCTAGAAGTGGTTTTTATCTGCCCGAGAACGAAAAAGTAGAATGTTATGCGTGTGGATTTTCTATCATCGCCGCTTCCTGGCAAACTGTTTTTGAGCTACATGCTTTTAAATCCACGGGGTGTCCTTTTCTAAACGGGAAGGCTTTCAATATCCCCGTGGAACAGCAGTCCGAACCCAATTATAGCTTATCAGAGGCAACGGGCGACTCCTTACAAAGCGAAGGTGGGGAGCATTCAAACAACAGTGGGGATAGAAAGGCCGAAAAAAGTCATGTCGAAAAAACAAAATCCAACCCACGCATCTTGGATGAAAAATTCTTCCAGCGACTAATTACCTACAAGTGAGAATTTGAATATTTTGATTTTTTCTTCAACGAGAAATTCCATGGTATCTTGATTTGACCTTGGCTTGTAAAATCGTTTTATTTACAAAAATATTGCTAGGAAAAGGCGTCATATATTAAAACTCCCCTGCTGTTGAATGAGTGAGTAGTTTCAGTGCTTAGAATCATTTAGCAACAATTTGCTAGCCGGGCTTTGATTTATTCTATAATTGTTCAGACATTGGCACGACGTGGACTTTAAAGGTGTGTCTGCAATAAACTGTGCGTACGCAGGATTCGTGTATGTTCACAAATACGCGCAGCCAGTTCTGCAGTGTCTGGAATGTGAGGTGATGATGCTGAACTCTATGCCAGCTGTTGACATGATGATTGAACACGCCAGCTGTTCTCCAGTGTGTCCATTCATATCCAAAGTCAAAGGAGTGGACTACTTCAAACACGCCATCGAAATCCGGAACATCGCGCTGAAAAAGGCGGGAAAACCAGCCTTGAATGTCAGGGCAATGGACGTGAAGTACGCTCTCAAAGGTAAAGGCATAAAGAGCAACTTATCCATTTTAAATTATCTCGCTATCTTATGTGCCGATCTTCTCCTTCGCGTAAATTTTCAACCGGTTAATTGCAGCAACTATCGATTGTAGTGTAAAAGTCGGTTACAGCTGATTCAAGGATTCTTAAGTCAATGCACGAAATGTTCTTTTATTTTTTTTCAGGAGAAAGTCGAAATGGTGATCACGCTCAAGATCGATTTTTTGATTTGATTCTTTTTTAAATTCAATTCAAAATCATTTGCAAAAAGAAAGGCGAAGAACCCTCTCAAAAGTAACGTGATGGACTTTTTGTTTCACAGATAATTTTTACACTTTAGTGTAATTTTTACACTGTAGTGTATTAGTACGGCTATTCTTTTTTTTTATGCATTCCAAGTAGCAAATATTGGTGCCACTTTTGGGTTTTCTCTATGGATTTTTGATATCATGTGCTTTGACATTCGATTAGTAAGAAGTTAACACAGTTGATGCATTTTTTAATCATCAAATGAGCAGAAAAAAGGCTTTTTCTAAACAACTTTACAATATTAAAAACTTGATTTCAGAAATTGTCCAACTTAATATATCTCGCATTGTTTTTGAGATGTATAATTTATACCTAATTGTGCTTTATGCTTTTCAATTAATTACGTGCAAAGTTAGTGTGGATGCCCAGTTTGTTGTATTCCAAATTATTACATGCAAAATTGTGTCTCTTTGTCTTTGATGGCATCTTGACTGCATCGCATTGGCATATTATTAGTATATGTAATTGCTTTGTGGCCAGTTTTTGCAATTTATCAGGGCTCGTAACACAGATGCGAGGACAGAGGACAATAAATCTCTTGGTCGTCGAATCGATTCCGCCACAGAAAACGTTTTTTTTTTTTCAATTCTTATACGAGGCCAAACTGTGCACTGGATAGGCGTCAATTTTTTGTCTGTATGTTCATGCATTCCAGAGGCAAATCTTTAAACATGTTAAAGTTTTGTCGGAACGAGCTACGAAAACTTAAAAAGAAGAAAAAAGAGCGGCTTTGTTGCGAATTCCGCTTACAATTCACAAAATACATCAGTTTGGCCCCGTAATGATTTTTAACTTTTTCTTATTTCACTTTATGGAGCTATTTTTGGCGTGGTAACGCGAATTTTACTATTGCTTCAACTTGTCTGATTGAGTTAGTTTTATGGAAAATCTCGAATGCTTCTTTAATGTAAATGGGCCTAAATTTTCTAAAAAAAGAGAAGTTTGAGACTTTTTTAACTTTCCTTCGGCTATGTTTTGTAGTTCAAAGCGTAACAGAACGAAGTGATTGTCAATTTTATTGGTGATGATAATTTTTTTTTTCGTTTTTGTTTCAAGGAAAAAAGTCTTAAATTTGTTCACACTCTAGTTTGATTTTTCGCGATTTGATTTTTTGGTTTCTCAAGTTCAGTTTGTTTCATTTATTCAAAGGAATTCAAACTCCACTATCGAACATTTTAAGTATAAATGTGATGAAAAACGTGAATGATTTCACGAAAGTGGAATTCATTATCAGATTTCCTATCAAACTATAACTAGTATGCTCAAATCGAGTTAGTTTTATCAAAAAGCACCAACCATAAGTTGTTCTAGAAATTCAAAGTGCTCTTAATGGGCATCTTTTTTTTCGAAAGTTGAGATGTTTTCGAAAAACAAGTCATGAATTTTTTGTCTGATTATTTGCATTGATTGACTCTTTTCCATTTTTCTGTTGGCGGTTATGTTTAATTGTTTTCGCATCTATTTCAAAGGGTATCGTTAGGCGGTACCAATTTCATATATCCTTAATTGTTTTCACGCTCAATTTTGATTCACGGTCAATATTGTTCAGGCTCAATTTTGATTTTTGCGGTTTGACTTATGATTTCTTTTTAAATTCAGTGCACTTCTATTGTTAAAAGGAAGGCAAACTCCACTATCGGACAGCAAAATTGTAAAGGTCACGAAAAACGTGATCGACTTCTAATTTTGAAAATGGAAATTGAATATCAGATTTCCCAGCGAAATAAAAATTTTATCTATTGATCCAGTTTTCTCAAATTGGGTTAAATTTAACAAAAAAGTGTCCATCATAAAATGCTCTACAAAGTCAAAGCGCTTTAAGGCCATCTATTTTTTCTTCGAATTTTAAAATTTGAAGATTTTTGAAAAAAAAACAAGTAGGTTTTTTTTTCAGTCTACTTGCATTAATTACTCTTTTCTAACTGTCAGTTGGCTATGTTTTTATAGGTGGAAATTGTTTACTCGGTTTCATGAGGCGTTTTCAAAAATTCAAGCTAATTTTTTCAGTTCAGTGTATTCTGTACGCTTTTTCAGTTGCCTAAATTTAACTTGTTTGTAAAATGTTTTTAAAAGAAAGATTTTAAAGTGTTTTTTGATTTCGCCATAAATTATAAATATATCAGCATTTCATCAATTACCGGAATGGATAGCCAAAGTGAACTGCTGAACTCCTGAACGTCTTCTCTCGAACCTAATGGCTGAAAGAATATGCAAAATTATAACATCAAAAAAGTATATATATATTTTATATATTTTCCTGACCACTTTTTGTTCAAATAGATCGGACAATGTTTTTTAAAATCAGATTTTCTGAAATCAAGAATATATAGCATTGGGTATAGACAAGGGAGAGAAATTTGAAAAAAAAAATAAGTTCGATAAGATAAGTTCGATAAGATAAGCCTATAAAACTGTGAACTATAAAACTTGATCTATAAATATTTGTAAAGAACGTTTTCTGCTCAATTTCATCTGAGTCAAGCAAGCTTTTTATTGTTTTGTAGCGGAATACGGAAAATCCGGACTCGGACAAGGTGACTGGGAATCGTTTGAACATTTTACAACCGAACTTGTCAACCTCGGATTTCCCCCGAAAGTTGTCCAGAAAACAGTAGCGAAGAAAATGCTGAAGGTCAACAATCAGTCTTCCGAATCGAACGAAAGACCCAAACTGACGCTAACGAGCTTGCTGTCAAGTGTTCAGCGTGCATACAACAACAAATATCTAAGCGAGGAGGCCAGGGCGGCAATGAAGCCTGGTGGGGAATCGGAATCGACGGAAAACAGTCAGACGGGGAGTGGCGACACCTCGTCCTCTTCAGTTTCGTCTGACAACAGTCAGGTGGGGGAGGACTGGCCGCCCACATTACAACTGGAGGAGACTCTGGGACGATGTCTGCATTGTTTAGAGAATCCGATCAGTGCCCAGGTGGTGGACTGTAAACACATCTGTCTCTGTGGCAACTGTGCCACTTTCGTTACCAGATGTCCCCTCTGTCATGTCAAAATAAAAGCCACCAACAGGCTATTTTTGGTTGAATCGGGAAGTAGTAGCAAACCAAGAACTGCTTCAGAACTCACGTTAAGACTCTATGAAACCTGATCAATTGGAAAAAAAACATTTTAGTAGTTAAATGGTTCAAACTCAAGCAGATATATCGGGTGCGACAGTTTGATTTTATATGCTGTTAAATGCTAAGCAACTTTTCATTCTATTGAAAGGAACTAAAAGAAGGTGTGCACGATATGGTAATAACAATACAGCTTTGGAGTTATTTAGCCTCCGATGTCCCACCCGATCCGATATAACCACATAAGTTGAGCCATTGTTTTTAATGGTTAGTTTTCCTAATTAGAAATGTAAAATTTATATTCTCTCTGATGTAATGCTTAGAAACGGATCTTGGCACTTCTACCCTGCCCGACCCCTACTACTATAACTTTTTAACTTCAGCTCACGTTATTTTTTGGCATGCGAGTTAATTGTCAAATAAGAAACAAAAAAAAATTCTGGAAAGTAGTGATATAAAAAGAAAAATAGAATTGCGTTTGGTGGTTTGTGATTAAGTATCCTCAGTTCATGGCCATGGGTTCACTTAAGGAAGCATTTAACTCATTTTTAATTATTAATTTTTTGATCATTCTGAAATAATGGCATAATTTTGGGCTATTTACAAACCTGGGGGGGGGGGGGGGGGGGGGGGGGGGCTGGCTATAACAAAATATTTTTATTTGATATTTGACCGATTGCAGACTTAAATTGATAGTTCTCATAAAATCTTAGTAATATCTTAGAAATTTGCAGACCAGATATTTTTGTTGATTTCAATGAAAGGGGTGTGTTTTGAATGTCTCTGTGCCATCTGAAGTATTCGCATGCATCACTGTCCTGCAAATACAACACCTTTGTCCTTCAAACACAGCACTGTGGCAAGTTGACACAGTTATTGTGTTCAAGTTGCGTGATACGATCTAAGTCAAGTGACTAAATCTAGAGTGGCCATTGGGTAAAATAAGATCAACTATTATCTTGATAGAGTTTACAGTTCAAACACAACCAAATATGGGTGGCTGTGTAGCAATTCATTCCAGATATTATTTCTATTTTGTGGCATTTACCATCATTAGCTGCAGTGTACGAGTGGTCCATGGAAGTGACGTCAGACCAAATGTTGTGTTCATTGTGGTGGATGACCTCGGCTGGGACGATGTGGGCTATCATGGATCCACACAGGTGAAGACTCCAAACATTGACATGTTAGCTGCCAGTAGCATAGACCTCGACTCACATTACGTCAACCCTCTTTGTTCACCCTCAAGAGCCGCCCTTCTAACAGGCAGATACCCCAGTAGTCTAGGTCTGCAACACAGTGTCATAATTCAGGGCCAGAGAGTGGGAGTGCCCCTGAATGAGACTATGCTGTCAGAACACTTGAGACGAGCAGGCTATGCTACTCATGCCATCGGCAAATGGCATTTGGGCTACTTTGCCAAACAGTACACTCCGACAGGCCGAGGATTTGATTCGTTTTACGGGTACTACAACGAAAACACAGATTATTACGATCATACATCTAGGTACTCGTTTATAGACCAAGCCCCCGATTTTGAGTAGAAAATTATTTCACCGATTCCCTTGAAAACATTCAGGTGTCAGTTCAGCCTAAAACTTAGACTATTGTTTTGTGATTCTTAAGAAGCACTTTTCAAATTCGTTTCTAAACTCTCACTTCACTTTTTACATTTCAACTTGAAAAAATAAACGAGTGCCCCAAATGTAGTCTGGACTTTACATTAGCTGATAAACATAATCCAGCATGGGGCTTAGACTGGCGTATGGATGAGAATGGTACGTTCCGCTTTGTGTACGAGGACTTTGGTAAGTACTCAACCGACATTCTCACTGACCGAGCAGTACAAGTTGTTCAGAACTACAGCAAGAGTGAACAGCCTTTGTTCATGTACCTTGCTTATCAGGCCATCCACAGTGCAAACGAAGCGGAGCCTCTGCAGGTAACATTGGAATACAAACAGCAACTTACACACACTCAGATCCAGGAAAAAAGAAACGAGTACTTTATAATAGTCATTTGCTTGTAATAAGCAAGAGGCATCAAATCGGAACATGGCTTTTTAAGAATCGATGAACGTAGTTCAGACTGTATAGATCGGGATGTTTTTTTTTCAGGAGAAGTCTCAAAGGGCTCTAATATTTACAGAAGCGCATTCACACATTAATGCATTTATGAATGCACCTAGGTATATATGCACTCTTTGAGTTCAATTCACTTTCATCTGCTAAACAATAGGTAAGCTGCGCTTTCCAATTACAAAAGTGTTAAGGTCACGGAAAACGTTATCGACTTGTAGTTCTGATTGTTGCATTCGGGTGTGTTCTAGTTTTTCTTTTGTTTTCCACGCAGTCAAGAAACAGAAATAATCATCGCAAAGATTAGTGATATATCTCATTAAAGCCCTTTAAAGTCGTGATTCGAACAACATCGGTTTGAAATTTTTGATTTTTCGTCTATTTTCGAGTGACTAAAGCGATCGAGTAACGCTTGTTATAAATAAAAGCTAGCAATTTTGGCTAAAAACAACTTGATTTTACTAAAAGGAATAATAGTTTTGGAAGCTTCATTTAGTTAGCACTTCTCTGGAAAAAAACGTTCAACAATATTTTTTGAAAATTTTCGTTTTTTTGTTGATTCGGTTTTTGAAGAAATTTGGAGTCTTTTATGCCTAATTCATTTAATTTCTACGCGTTCGTATAATTGCATCATCACAGGACTTACAAAAAAAGACTAACTTGAAGAAAAAGGAAAATTTGTTTCTTCTGAGAATGTGGTCGAATTATTCTGTGCTTCTGGCACAACAACCCGCTATCCTTGTTGCGAAGTTTGAATTTATTTTTCAGATTTCCCAGCGGAATAAAAAATTTTTTTATTGATCCAGTTTTCTCAAATTGAGCGAATTTTATTTAAAAATGTTCATCTTTAAAGCTTAGAAGCCATATATTGTTTACTTTGAAAATCTATAGTCAGTTTTTTTTTCTGTTTCCTTTCATTGACTACTTTCCAACTGTCTGTTGGCTATGTTTTCAGTGAAGCACTTTGTCGATTATAATTATCGAATTATTTGATAGCTTATTTTGTTATAAAATAGAATTCGTTGTGTTATCGTGCACATTTGGCGCAGAGGACATTTGGCGCTTTTGGGACGAAAGTAGTCACAGGTACGAAGTCGACCAGGAGCTGTTCGTTGCGAACTGTCAAACATTCGGCACAAAAAATAATTGTTGGACTGTCTTGTCTGCTCATTTTTTGTCTTTTTGTTACTTATGGAAAGCTGGGAGATTCGATATGATACCTTTAAATAATGTTAACATAATGTCATTAATAATTAAGCAGAAAATTCTACTATAGTGTTTGTAGGCTATTTGCTTCATTTCAAGAAATTAGGTGCAAGCGTTCTTATTCCATTTTTCAAGTTATGTAGTTCTATCAAATTTGTGCCGTTGAAATCAAATGAAACGAGATGCCTAAATCTTCGTATTCGAATAATTTTTGGCGGATTCTGAAATTTTATTTTACTACCATTCTTAGTTTACAATCCGAAATCAAAGCCGGCGAGCATACTTCTACAAGATTCTAGCGTAAATCAAAAAGAAACAAAACTAATTTTATTTTACGGTTTTCTGAATCGTTGGTTAAGTTCCAGTTTTTGTCATGTGAACATGCGGTTATTTGACGTTAATTTGTTTACCGGAATGTTTGGCAGTTATGCTTACTTTACAGCACTTTTCTGGTGTTGTGTTGTGGTTTTCACATGTAACAAGATAGTACGTCGCAAGAACATGTGCTGTCGAGTTCAATAACCTACATAGGTTAACGGAACTATAAACCATCTCATGACTTGTTTTTAGTCTGGTTATATTCTGGCGACAGAACTGCGCAAAATAAAAGACATTTAAAATTTACAATGCAGCCAAATTGTTTACGAATAATTCAACCGTTTTGCAACAGAATGTCGACATACCATCTATTCAAGATTCTTGCTCAAATTATTCAGCGTTTACTAGTCCATCGAGGTATTTCTTAGTGCATCTACAGAAAGCATGTTTCATAATCTAAATGTGCAATTTTTCTTTTTATAAAGGTTACATGATGGCTTGTCTTTGTCAAAATTTATCCAGCTCCCATTTAAACAGTAGAACCAAATACTAAATCGGCTCTTTTTCCTTTCCCCCCACCTGCAAATTTTTACTTGTAAATTTGTTGACTACGTTGTCCGATTGCTATGAAATTTTTCATACTGACTAATGAGCCCACGCAAACATATTTCGTCATCATACTCAACCTCATAAAACCGCTCGTTACACTAATATATTGAAGGTCGTGTGAGGTGGGGAAGGGGGATTAGGAAAAAGAGCCACTAAATCACTACACTTTCCTCAAGAAACTGTCCCCCTGTTCTTTCAAGTTCTATTTTTGGAGTAAATGAACGTAGTGAAAACTTCACTATATGATAGCGATATTTTTTTCATTTTTTTGTTTACGCTCAAATTCGAAGTCTTTGAGTTTGTTTACGCTCAAATTTTATTTTTTTTTGCAGATTGATTTTCAATTTGCAGCAATTGAACAGCATTTTTGTAAAGATCACGAAAAATGGTCGAATATTTTCGAAAGACGATAATAAGTTCAGATTTCCCTGCAGAAAAACTCTATTGATCCAGTTTTCTCTAATTGCTTTAATTGTACCAAAAAATGCGAATCATAATTTAATTTGAAATTCCAGGAGCATCAAAGCCATTGATTTTTTGGTTGAATTTTGAAATTTATAAGAAATCGAAAACGTTTCTGCTTTGCGTTCATTGGCTCTTTTCCAGTCTGTTGGCTGTGTTCTTAGTTGCTGAACGTATTAATTCGGCTAAATAGGTAAAAGGTGTTGTTATCATATAAAATATCATGAAAAAGTGCTCTCAATAAAAAAAAACGAAGTAATTTTCAGATGTATAGGTCGATGTTTTTTTCTTCAGTTAAAGGTCTGAAAATGCTCTTACAACTAGAGTGGTGCATCATATACAATAAATGCACTAAGTTATACCTGCACGTTTGGAATTCAATTCAAGTTGATGTGCTAAAAGCTAGCAAATTGCGCTCTTCAATCACGAAATCGAAAATAGCGCAAAAAACATGAACGACTTCTAGTTTCGATTGTAATTTTCAGATTTCTCAACGGAGTTTAAAAACTTTCGTTTTAAAGGAAGGTAAACTCCATAATTGAACAGCATAAGTGTAGATATTTTCTTAAATTGGGTTAATTATATCAAAAAAATGATAGTCTTAGGTTGTTTTTGAATTTAAAAGAGCTATAATCTGATACATTATTTTTTCATCATTTTTTTGGTTTCCTTTTATGTTTTCTAACCTTCTGTTGGCTATGTTTATTGTTCACCATGCCAAGCAGGGTAACTGCATGGTCATTTTTAAATGACCATGCATTCTTAGTCAGTAAAAGGTCATTATTTCTTTGACAGGTAATTATTTTCTAATGACTTCCTTCCTTTTACTTATAAAACTGTGTGATCGAAATATTGCTCAGGGCGGCGTATTTTTTTAAGATTGTTAGTTTTTGCTTTTAGGTAATAGCATTTTTGTTAACAAAGAATTATTTTTTTGCAGCTTTTTTATTTTAAATGTTTTTTAAGGTCATTTTTTTGATCATTTTTCTAGTTAAAATAAGTCAATATTTGGTCATTTTCTGGTTAAAACAATCAGTCATTATTTAGTTTGATGAAAATGTGGTCACCCTGATGCCAAGTTTCACTGCAATATGATAACTCTGAAAAAAATACAAAGTCGATGAACGTAGTTCAGACTTACATAGGTCGCGAATATTTTTTGTTAATTTTTTTTCAGGCAAATTCAAAAAATTACTTTTTCGCGGTTTGACTTGTGATTACTTTTTGAATTCAGTTCATTTACTCTTTGAATTCAGCAAACACCACTATTAAATAGTGAAAAACGTGATCAGCTTCTAATTTCGGAAACAGAATTTAATTATCAGATTTCCCAGCGAAACAAAAATTTTACCCATTGATTTAGTTTTCTCAAATTGAGTTAATTTTATCCAATAAACTGTTAATCATAACTTGTACTAGGAGTTGAAAATGCTAATAACATTTAATTTTTTTTCTGTTTACTTGCGTTCATTGACTTTTCCAGCTCTCTTTCGGTTATGTTTTTAAATGTGAATTTTAAAATAAAAATTTTCTAACAAATGTCTACACATTTTACGAATTCCTAAACCCTAACTGAAATGAGAGCAAAGTGTCTCTGCAATGTTGAACCTGAGACACATGGTGATGAAAAACACGTGACTTAGAACTGATAGCCAATCGGTCTTTACACTTAGTGTATTATTGAGAACCTTCGTTTTTTCTAACCCAAGTTCGAATACAAATAAGTTGCTTTGATATTCGAATACTAATAAGTTAACACAGTTGATGCATTTTTAACTCATCAAATGAACCGAAAAAAGCTATTTGTTTCCAACAACAAAACAATCATAAAAATTCGATTTCAGAAATTTTCTTACTCAGTATATCTCTCAAAGTTTTTGAAATGCATAATTTATTTATAAAGTGGCTTTATGCTTTCTTATTTATTACTTGCAAAGTTAGCGTGGATGCCTCCAGGTTGTTATATTCTTATTTATTTTTGCAAAATTGTCTATTTGTAACTGGCGCGAGTTTTGCTGAATCGCATTGGCAGTTTTTAGCTTTTAGCGTATGTAGCTTCTTTGTTCGTGAATTTTGTTTGTCGGTGGTTAAGCGTACGTGGCTAATGGTTTAGTGCGTGAGACTCAAGTTCTCTTGATTGCAGAAGGTCGCAGATCGAATCCTAGACCTAGCCTAATTTTTGCTAACTCGAAGCTTCTTTCGCTTTTAATGTATTTCAATATCTAGAGCTCTAGAGCTGCTTTTTTTCGCGTTCTTGCGAATCATTGCT